TAGGGTTACAATACGTAACCCCCCGTTTCATTATCTTAAATGTAATTGATTTAAAAGGGACAGTTCACCCAAATATAAACAGTATTTGTTCCCTTTGAACATCAGCAGCCGGTCGTCTCAGTCCTGTTTAGCTAAATCACAGCGCTAACGGCTAACTTTAAAGTTAATGGAGGTTCTATTGACTAGCATGCTGCCTTTTGTGACAAAGGCTCTGTGTCTCCCCAGTACATATGCAACAACTTTGATACTGTAACCTAATATGTGAAATACTGTAACATCATGCACTTTACCTACTCTTGGTACTTTCTGGTTGGATGCTGACTGCATTTGTTATGTACTCTGTGCAATGCTAACTCTAATGGTTAATAATCTGTATTGGGCAAAGCAAAATTATATATTATAAAAAATGTTAATCATTATAACTGATGCCAATATCTTTTAATCAAAGCAACTATATAAATTGAAATAAAAGATACCCTAATCATTTCATGTTGTTATGCAAAAGCTTGGTACTTGCCTTGGACGAGGGTCCACATTTGTAAAATGGTGTCCCCCTGTCCATAATTTCCAACAGCTGGCCTGATTCCAAGTTTTTAAAGCTTATTACTGAGCCGTGTAGAAACGTCGCAAGGTTTCAAATCATTTTTGAAGATGTGAGTGTGCCTGCAGGGGAGAGAGGAAACCCTGTGACAGCAGCAGTGGGATGAAAGGTGAGAAAGTGAAACTTGAACTACGGTAGTCTCTAATTCTAAATCGTCCAGTTTCAGCAGCCGAACATATGAATATTTATGAATGTGTGAAGTCCAAATACTTCTACAGGCACAAATAAAATGTTTTAATAAATGCAAAACAGTATCTTATGTCACAAAAATAAGTTTGCAGAGCGATGCATTAACTGACCTGCTGCATGTACTTTTAGATTCAACAGTATCCTGGTTACTGCAGTCTAAATATCCTGCCTAACCAACATCTCTCAGTCAACTGTTTGCTAGTTGTCACTTATAGTTTTTAACAGTTTTGAATGGAACTTTAAGAGCAGTCAACATCTGGTGAAAACTGACAAATGTACAAAACTATTAAACAAAGACTGTAGGCAGGGACAGGGGAGATGTAAATCTTCGATTTAAACGTTTACAACTTGCGATGTTGTCTTGTTGGTGCCTATATTTTACAGTGATGAACAAATAATTCAGATTCTTCACTGAGTAAAAGTACTGAAACAAAACTGAATATACTCAATTTAAAGTAAAAGTACTGCATCAATAACGTTACTTAAGTGACATTTACCTAATATTAGGAGTACAAGTACTTATTGCTAATTTTGAAAACTATTTAAATATTTAAAAATATTTAAAAGTAAAAGCAGCATGTCTTCACACTTAAGAAGCTGGAACTGTGAATTATTTTTTAACAAAAAAACTAAAAAGTTAAATTTCACTCATGGTTTTAGTAACTTGAATAAAATGTTGAATGGTTTAAGCTATACCATATTCATATTTCAAAAGTTGTGTGAAGTATTGTGTTTCAATATTTGAATTTATAAAGTAACTAGTAAATAATTATGCCAAATAAATGTAGTGCAGTAAGTACAAAGTACAACATTCCCTTCCAAAATGGAGTAGAAGTATAAAGTAATTCAAATACTTGGTATAGTACAAATACCTAAAATGTGTACTTCAATACAGTACTTTGTATGAGTTGATGTATAGTTACACCCACCACTGCTGTTTTATGATGATGCAGTCAGCAACATTTGACCTGGTTTGAAACTTTCTGTTTCTTTTAATCACTCTTTGGCTTTCACTCCCTTTCCTCTGCTCCGTAATCTCTCCTCCACCACTGTTTTACACACACACACACACACACACACACACACACACACACACACACACACACACACACACACACACACACACACACACACACACACACACACACACACACACACACACACACACACACACACACACACACACACACACGTTTACTTTGCTCGAGTCGCGTACTCTGAATGCCACATTAACTCTGTATTGTCACTCATCACTGAGTAGTGTTGTTAACGCTGTGACCTTTCAGCGCACAGGCTGACACATCATTACTGATTCCCTGAACGCACCGCGGCTCCCAGATACACACATTACAGGGCCACATAATGACCAAATCACTCCCTTACGGTGCTCCACTGGCAGTTGATATAACTGATACATGTACACAAAGACCAAAAGTCAGAGCTTGATCTGCCTTTGCATCAGTTGACGTGAGAACAGAGGAATGCCATGAGAACAAGACTCAGTGAATAAGCAAGGCAGTGGTGTTCATGCCACCAGGGTGGTGGTATCTTATGTTTTATGCTTTCTGGCCTTTGCATTTACATCCAAAGAACATGTCTCAATCATTGAAAAAGGTGAAAATATACATGTGTAATGTTACCAACATGCATGTTTAATTTGAAGATTAAATGTGAATTATGATGTAAGAATATCTATTCTCTTCCATATTTCCATTTTTGTCTGCATCTGTGTTCAACTTGGCTCTCTTCTACAATTCAGTAGACATCAGGTTCTGGCCAAATAGCATATTTAGGAGAGAGCACTGAATGTACACATTTTACAATGAAAAATAAAAAATAATTCTAGCAACACAGGATTAGCTGTTAGTTTCTAACAAAACTTGTTACCTGTTTGTTTGTTTACACATGTGAAGCTGTAGTTCATTGGATGCTAAAGAATGAGTAACACAGGGTTTCTACTTCATTATAGATACACATTTATTTAGAAAAGTATGTTTTTCAATATACTACTATTTCCCTTTAAAGCTTTAACTTTGATTGAATGTTTCAGAAGGATCCATGTTTCCTAGTCATAATTACAACTTGGATGTTTAAGTGAATGCCTTTTAAAGTATGATTACATAAAAACTGCGTTAACCAACACTGTCATCTAGAAAATTTACATAAAGGAAACTCTTTTTAATGTTGTCCTCTAATAGGAGTTAATTGTAAAGGGTGATGTTTAACGAATAGATGGCAGACACAAAGAGACAGTTTTACCCTCTTTACGGAATGACGTCCTTCTCTTAAACGCTAACATCTGGACCGGCTGAGCACAAGCATAATGGACCATAGTTTTTCTGGCCTTTGAGGGAGTAAAGACGGGGCGACCCTTGAGATTCCCTCTTGAGTGTAGAGCTGGCTAAAGCCTGCTTTTATAGAGTGGCAAAGTCACGCCCATCTACTTCCGGTCCATGGGACCTTATTTCGGAAAAATAATGTATTGAAGCCAATGAAGAGAGAAAACATATATTTCGATCCCGTTTGAGTTGTGCCATGAATTACACATATGATGTTTGTCAATCTTAAAAAATAATTTCCATGTCAAAAAAGTCAGTTTGTCGTAAAACTGTTGAAATATAAGACTATGAAATATACGCAACTAGAAAGAGTACATCACAATCACAATTGTTTTACTCCACTAAGAGATAGCTAAGATCAGCGCCATATACAGTAGATATAATCTATCTATATGGCGCTGGCTAAAATAAGATAACTTTAACAAGATGCCTGTGTGCTTAGTACCAGGTTGTTATCATACCAGCAATGGGTCTTGCTCGTTCTTTCGCTTTCCATCTGATGAAAGAACCAGGAGTGGCTGGATCAAGTTAGCTACCTAGCTAGTAGCTAGCACGTTAGTTAGCATTACAGCCTTGTCATTTTTATTAGCCTTAATATGAAGTAACATTAAGTAACCCAAAATGCTAAACAGCAGCGGCCCGTCCACAATACAGCTTCGACAGCTTCAAAAACGGTTTCCAATGCTTCTGCCCATTCACTTTGAATGGGGTGACGTCACGTTGCCTCGCTTTTCGCCGAACTGAATTGTGGGTAGCAGAGCGGAGCTTTCCTGGCATTTCAGGCTGCAAAAGTTGAGCAATGTTCAACTTTTGAAGCTTCTGAAGCTTTCGGTGGAAGCATCAGTCAATCAAATCATATGCCAGTACAAGCTCTAGCCAATCAAACCGCTGCTTGTGTGTCAGGGGCGGGAGATTCATGTGATTGGTTGTTGGTCGAGCTTCAGACACGCCCGCCGGCAAGCTTTTTTTGAAGCTGTAGTGTGGACGGGCCGTAAGAGTAGTGGTCATATTTCGTGAACCCTTTGAAGAGTACTGTCACCGGTGTGATCATTCTATAATACACAATTTAAGCCCGGGGGAGAAATGCTACAGCCACATTAGCATCTGCGATCTTTTCTACTTCATGCTATCTGCACAAATGGTTGACATTAAACATTAAAAAGACCAGGCAGTTCAGAGAGAATCAAAGGAAAGCAGGCAGGCAGCTTTGCATGACATTCTTCTGGACGTGTTTCATTGTGGTGATAGTGAGGGTAGTCAATCCTTTTGTTGACAAGACAGTACTGACGGCCATCTTGGTGACGTGTGTTGTTCTGCTAGACCGGAGATGTAGTTCATTCAGCGTTTCACACAAACAAATGTGTTACTTCACATTTTTATTTTTTTTACTTGTAAAATTCTCTTTTAAATTGACAAACATCATATGTGTAATTCGTGGCACAATTCAAACGGGATCGAGAGATAAGTGTTCTCTCTCCATTGACTTCAATACATGATTTTTCCGAAACAAGGTCCCATGGAGCTCCCCCGGAAAGGGAGCCACTATGAGGCTATGCTCACTAGGATGAGAGGATAATCCTTGGGAGCGTTTCTGGACACATGAAGGCCGACAGAGACACGACAATGTGCATATGACAATAAAACCTTTGAATCTTTGAATGTAGTGTGGGAGTGTACCTGTTCACAGTGGGGGGGCTCTGCCGGTGGGGGGCTCTGAGAGGGCATCTCTTCCCCCATACACACACTTTTTATAGAGTAGGAGGGGGGTGTGTACCTGTTCACAGTGGGGGGGCTCTGCCTGCTGGGGGGCTCTGAGAGGGCGTGTCTTCCCCCATACACACACTTTATATAGAGTATTAAGGGGTGTGTACCTGTTCACAGTGGGGGGGCTCTGCCTGCTGGGGGGCTCTGAGAGGGCGTCTCTTCCCCTGAGAGGAGCTTAAAGCCCTGCTGCCGTCTTGCAGATATCCTTCAAACTCCACCTTCCTCCTCATGGTGGAGTTCCAGTGGTTCTTGATGGAGTTATCCGTCCTGTTGGAGAGCAGGGATGTTAACATAATGCGTACTTCTTCTTTTCTACCGCCCTAATACACCACATGGAGGTGGAGATTGTAGTAGTATTGCATGAAAAAGGGTTATGTGATGATGTAGTAAACGACTCGAATGCCAGTACGATGTTTGTTTAGCAGTATGGACTTTGTTCTTGTCTTTGATGAAACAAAGTTATTTGGCACCAAACTCTGTCGCTCCAGCCACTTCTTAGAATGTTTTTCTTTTTTTTTTTTCACTTAGAATTTTTATTGCTATGAAGTAAGTTCAAAAGTTAATTTGTTTCAACTGGGCCAGACCGAGGAGTGTTGAGCAGGCGTCTAAATATCGTGCTCCATTAAGATCTCAACGTCTGAGTAACTCCATATATTAGCAGAGTGCAGAGACTAATATTATTCTTTTCATATTAAAGTATAAATGCACTCAGTATCCTTTCAGAGTGATATGTTTCTAATATAATGCGTGGTAATACACCATATTAAAGTAGAAATGCGTCCCCTCACCTTCCAGGCAGCAGCTTGGAGATCTCGGCCCAGCGGTTCCCGAGGCGTTTGTGAGCTTCATAGATAATCCGATCTTCTTCCTGAGTCCAGGAGGACTTCTTCACCTCGGGGTTCAGGTGGTTGTGCCAGCGCTCTCTGCACTGCTTCCCGATGCGACCCTGCAGGTGTTTGGCGATCACAGACCAGCGCTTCGGACCGTACTTATGGACCAGATCGATCACCTGCACGGAAAACAGTAATGGTTAGAGAAGGGAAGATACTGGAGGTCATTTCTTTACATATGGAGGTTTTTGGACAAAGCTTTGAATGTCTGAGGTTTTTTAACTTCTTTGAGCGACTAAAGGAAATCCTCTCCTTGTGAGCATCAACAAGATAGAAAACAGTTATTCGAACGCACTTAAAATGTAGTTTTTCAAAGGATAAAGCCAAGAAATATGGATTGAAACAGTATATCTTGATAGATAATAACAACAAGACTTTTAAAATGAACAGATAGTGAAGGGACAGGCTTTAAAGCTTTACTGGAGGTCATGTATTCACATGTGAAGCTTCTGTTCGGGTTTTTGGACAAAGCTTTGATTGTCTGAGGTCATATTTCTTTACGTCTTTGAGCGACTAAAGGAAATCCTCTCTTTGTGAGCATCAACAAAATAGAAAACAGTTATTTGAACGCACTTAAAATGTTGTTTTCAAAAGGAATAAACCAAGAAATATGGATTAAATCATAATATTTGGTTAGATAAAACAATAAATGTGGACTTTTGAACGCTCTGCAGTTACTAGAGATGTCTAACCCAATCCTACTCCCCACTGCAAGCTAACCCTGCTTATAGCATAACACTTATTATTATATCATTATTATATATATGTCCTTCATCTGTAGAAACACATGCTTCAAAGCCATTGTGGAGAACAGGCTGTGCAGCTCTCTGATTGAGAATTTGAAAGTTAACAGTTGGTCCAGCTCTAGCAGTTTTATTCAGAAAATCACGTGTCATTTTATGAAAGTAAAGCGTTTTGTGGATTCATCACTCCCGGCTTGTATGAAGTCATTTCTTATTCACAGCCTGAGTGACGCAGTGTTTTCGATCCGTCTGTGTTTCTGTTGGCAGATTTCTAAACTCTTCAGGATCCATGTAAGGACAGCTTCAACGTGAACACAGGAACCTGCGTTATATAACGATGACGTAATGGAGCGGGACACTTTTTGGCGGGAGGTGCCGCCCTGTTAGTGTGGAGGCAGGTTCTAAGGCTGTATCGTCAGTTCTCTCACATGTTAGGCTTCTATAGAGTTATTTGGACAAAGCTTTGAATGTCTGAGGTTCATTTAACACATCTTTGAGCTTCAAACAATAATCCTCTCTCTCTATGAGCAGCAACAGGAGAGCAAACAGTCATTTGAACACGCTTCAAATGTGGATCTCACAGGATAAGGCCAACATACTGTATATGGATTAAAGCAGTATATTTTGTTAGATATTAACAATAAATGTAGATACAACAGATAGTGAAGGGTAGATACTGGAGGTCATTTCTTCACATTTGAAGCTCCTATTAAGGTTTTTAAATAAGGCTTAAAATATCTGAGGTCATATTTAATTACGTCATTGAGATTCAAAATAATGTGTCTATTGTGTGAGCAGCAACAGGAGAGCAAACCGTCATTTGAACGCAATTCAAATGTGGTTCTCACAGGATAAGGCCAACATAATATGTTATATATGTTGTCATATATTATATGGATTAAAGCAATATATTTTCTTAGATAATAACAATAAATGTAGACTTTCAAAAGATAGAGAGTATTGTCAATTCTCTTACATGTGATGCTTCTATAGAGTAATTTGGACAGAGCTTTGATTGATTAAGGGTCATTTTGTTAGCAGCAACAAGATAGCTAACCCATTTTGAGCACGTTGTTTTCACAGGGACCAAACCGTGTAAGGATCCCTGCGGTGTATCACGATGACGCAATGGAGCGGGACACCTTCTGGAGGGAAGCACCTCCCTGTTAGGGTGGAGGTAGAAAGAAACGCCCCTTCCCCCAACACATAGTCTCCAGCTCCTCTTACCTTCTGATCCTCCTCCTTTGTCCACGGGCCTTTCACCAGCTCAGGGTTCAGAACCTTCTGCCAGCGGTGCTGACACTGACCATCTGTCCTGCCCTGGGGAGAGAGAGAGGTAAATACACCTGATACACACCTGAGAGAGAGAGAGCGAAATACACCTGATACACACCTGAGATACACCTGAGATACACCTGAGAGAGAGAGCTAAATACACCTGATACACACCTGAGAGAGAGAGCTAAATACACCTGATACACACCTGAGAGAGAGAGCTAAATACACCTGATACACACCTGAGAGAGAGAGCTAAATACACCTGATA